GGGCCCCCCCCCCCCCATTTTCAACCCGCGGGGGTTAACCCCCCCCCCCCCCCCCATGGGATTCGCCGAATACCTCACGGCGTTTCGCGCTTGGAGATGTGAGACCCTGGTCCGGTGAAAACCCGGGGTGTTCCGTCCCGGGTTTGTAGGGATGGGGGGTCAATGGTTTAAGGATTACGGCATGGAGGATTATGAGTACCCCCCCCCCCCCCCCCAGAAATATTGTTTTGTCACACCTTGAGGGTGGTGGCCTCCTTGAAGTTTCCGAACCCCAATCCCGACAATCCCGGTCGGACCTTGACCTCCAGCTGCCGCGTCACACCATCCTCGTTCTTGCCCAGCCTGCCCTTGAACCCCATCTTCATCAGCAGTTTCTTACCGATCCCCTGGTGTCCGAAGCCGGGCGGGACGAGGGGAAGGGGAAGAGATTTGTAGGGAAAAGAGGAAAGGATATTTTCGGATTGTGATTTGACGGATTATAGTCTCTGTGACCGTGATTCCTCCCCAGTTAAGCATTTTTCCAAATCAGGACGCAGCTCACAGGGGCACCGTGGAGGCTTGAATGCTTGGGGCTCGAGTGGTGGAGAGGGGGGGGGGGGGCACCGTGACTGACTATCGAAGATGGGTGCATCGACGAAGCAGGGGTCTGGATTGGGGTCAATCCGTCGGTTGCTGAGTGGTATATTTGGCGAAACGAATGTTATCTTGTGGGAGGGATGGGAATCATGGAAGAACAGCAAAGGTGTGACAACGCGAGTGGGGTTTCGCCCCGAAATGGAAACCTGGTTTCCATGAGAGATAGGTTCAAATCGATCTCCACTCGAAAAGCTGGCGGAGAAAGAATCATCTCTCTCTCTCTCTCTCAAAAAAAAAAGGAACGCCTAAGGATTGGACCGAACACTTGTGTAGGACTACTCATTGCCAACGAACGGTGGCTGTCGGAATCCAAGCAGATACGCAAAGACACGAGTCCTGAGCAAGAACGGAATAGCTAAGACCGATTGACTCAGGTACATCTTGCACACCAATTTGCGTTGGATGTTGGCAAAGCTAGAGTAGGGGCCGTAGACGACACGTTGCCAAGGGGAGATAAAACCTTGTTCGATTGGCCAGCGTGTTAATCGATCATGCCAGGCGACGCATACGATCAGTGCTATCAATAGTGACTGGATGCCGGCCGTTCGATAATGCAGCAACAGCGCTGACAACCCCTCGCTGACCAACTCACCGCCATCTTTCAGCTAAATAAGTTTCTCGACGGCAAGGGGACATTGAGGATTTCAGTCTCTCACCAACCAACCTGGGTCCTCACCCAACAAAGCTTTCTATAATAGAAACTATTGCGGGATTCTTCACAGCGCAATTCTTGTCTTTGCTACAACGACATAAGTCATAGTCACAACCGCGGCTCCGTCTCTGGTAGGGGAAACCCGCCTACTGTAATACCAGTGTGGTTCACGTTTCTCGTCCCGCTAAAAAGACTGGCGTCTTTTCATTGGTCCTTTGGTTAGTGTGGTCAATTGGCGTCTCTTCAATGGTCAGTCGGCTAGCGTCGTCGATCGGCGTCTATTACTTGGGTCAGTTGGTCAGCGCTATCGAAGATAATTAACCACGCACACACACACACACACACAAACACACATACACACACACATACACACACATACACACACATACACACACATATACGGTTCTGAGTGTAAATATCTGGCGATATGAGGCAGTGGCATTCGACAGCTGGTCACCCGTTCAGCGCGGACGTATTCGCACCGCAGCAACAACCTTCAGAAAACACACACACAAACCTTGGTGTTCTTCTCCCAGTTCCCGAAACCAGCGTCAAGTTTGGCCGGCAAGGGCTTCATCTTTGTCGGCTGCTCCTTCTCAGGCTCCTTCTCCCCCGCCCCTAGGCCTGCCCTCGCTCCTGCCCCAAGCCCCGACCCCACCCCCCTCTTCGCGCCCAAACCAAGCCCTCCAGAAGTTGCTGCCGCCGCGGATGCCCCCGGAGGTACGAGTGGCGGTGGCGGTGGCGGCGGCGGCGGCGGCGGCGGCGGAATCTTTCCTAACAATGCTCTAAAATCTGCGTTGCTCCTAGTATCCGCTGCCACCGGGCCGCTGTCTACCGCTGCGACTGCTGGTGTTGTGCTACCTATCCCGGGCGAGGCAGTGCCACCAAGCGGGGGTGGCGGCGGGGGTGGCGGCGGCTTGGAGGCGTTTTGCTTCCTCGGTTCCGCTGCCGCCGATGCCACGGCATTGTTGAGGAGGTCCCGGAAGTGCTGCTGCGTTTTCTGGCGGGCTACGGCCGCGGACGGGTTCTCCTGCTCTTCCTCCTCATCGTCCTCCTCTCCGCCGTCGCCGTCGGCTGTACCGGGTCCACCAGCCCCGGCCCCCGGAGCAGCGGCAGGCGTCGCCTTGTTGTTTCTCGCCTAAAAAGCGGTCAGCATCAGCATCAGGATATATTTGTAAGGTGGAGGTAGGGGAAGAGCCGACGACGCCGCGTAGGGATACTGCATACTTGTGGCAGTGGGCTTACGCAAAATGGCGGCCGGGGTGTGTGTAGTTATTTTTATCGATACCTTTCTCTAGTTCGCGGGCATTTTGATTAGCAACGTGAGAGAGCGACAACGCGGTGGTGCAAGGTATAAAGGCGTGGAGGTGGGAAGGAAGCGGACGATGCCATCGCCACGAGGAAGTGCTTTCGCTAGACAGAAGTGGACGTTCTGGTTCGAGCCCCTCTCCCCCTGAAACATGGAACAGGACCAAGTACTACGTTGCCATGGGCTACCATTCAATAGTGTGTTCTTCGTGGATATTGTTACAACAAGCAACTCCATGAAGATGACATAACAGGTACCATATACCGTACCAAATGCGTTGCCTGCCCTACTTCCTCTTCTCCGTTTCGGCTGGTTACCACTTAGCACCCGAACATAGTGCACGCCGACACTTGCGATTCGCTTTCCTCTCATTCTGAAATCTTGGGACATTTGTCCAATACGTGTGGATTCGACGCAACTCATCTGCAGACGACCATGACGCCGTCACCCGTCACCCCACTACAGGCGGCGGTTCAAAAATGGGGAGGTCTGACGAAAAGCACACAACCGCACAGGCGTGCAAGCTCCTCGCACATGTCTACTAATAGTTTTGCCTCCCCCTGTGTCCTCGAGTAAACCTACCTTTGAACCGCCCCCGCTCCCCCCCTGGCCCTTCCCGCCGACGAACGACATGGGCTTGCTGTGGTCCTTGCCCGAAGACTGCTGCTTGCGTCCTCCGCCGCCGCCGCCTTTCTTCTTCTTCCTCCCCTCGTCCTCGTCGCTGCTGCCGTCTTGGAACACTCCGAGGATACGGTCGTCCTCCGTCTGCATCTGGCCCTTCCGCTGGGTCTCGTAGTAGTACTCCCCGTTGATCCACCTCCCGCCTTCGAAGTCATTCTTCGACGTACGCGGAAGTGGGTTCGAAAGAAACCAGGGTGTGGAAAGAGTGGGGGGGGGCAGCAGACAGGCAGATTGGTATGTATGTGCTGGGCACGGACGGGAGATAATACCTGGAACATGTACGCAGTCTGGAATGATGTTGTATGTGACACGACGTAATCCAATATACATAAGCGTAGTTATGCAATACCCGCTTCGTCCTGAGGTGAAAGGCGCGGGTCCTATGTCGATCAAGAAACCGAACACGCTGCTGCCGTTGGTGACCTCCATCCAACCCGGCCGCCTCCATCATCCATACCAACAATGTAGATGGAAAGTCTATGCCTGCCACGACGCCGACACGTTCCACGCCAGCAAGATACCTGGAGGATCTAGCGACTACTATCGGCGACCGCGCAACACGGCATGGCATCTAGGCGTCTCTGGGTTCAAGCACCTGGTCGGTGAAGGCCATGCGCCCGCCTCTTCGTCCGGCCCCATCCTGCTCCTCGTCCGAGCTCATCCGCAGCGCCCCACACGGTGACTTCGGCGCTCCAGAAGCCCTCCCCTTGCCCTTGGCGAGAACACACAAAGCAGCCACAACCAGGATTGGTTAATAAGAGTCATCCGCGAGTGGCAGGCGAATGGGCTAGGACCGCACCTTGCAGAGGGCTATGTATAGATGTACAGGGCGGTTGCACTCTTGCTTGGATTCAATACGCGGGAGATTGATCCAACGCACGACGTTGCCCCCGCTGATGTGCGAAGGTACCGCCGTGGAAATGAACCAACACGGGGTTGCAGGTGTTGCCGGGGCACAGAAGAGCCACTGGTGGACCTATACACGTAACACGCAACAACCGCTGGCGAGATGGCCTTCAGGCAGCTGACTGCTTGTCCTCGTTGGTTGCTCGGAGGATGCGGCCTAACCTGCTTGTTAGACTCCCATTCAGTCATTCAGTCTATCCCGCACAACCACGCCAGTGCTCTCTTTGCTGAATCAGTACAACAGCGGCATCAAAAACAAACTCACTCTTTGGTCGATCCGCTCTCGTGGGCGCGCTAGCAGACCTCCTCTCGTGCTTCCACGCAGCAGGCAAGGTGAACAGCAGCACAGAGCAGGCACTGGACAGACGACGGGCTCGACAAGCAATACCCGTGTCTATATACCCCCATGATCCCGCGGTACCCCCTATGAAGCGGCGTAATAAATGGCATGTTGTGTCACCACCACCGCACACACCAGGCTTGCTGCTGTGATCTGTAAACAGCAGTAAACCAAGACCTCCAAGACACCACGCCTCACCTGGCATAACACGAGCATAGCTCTCAGTCCCTACGAGCACAGAGCTCTGTGCGCGAGGATAGACGGCAACGATGCTGGGGAAACTTCTGGCTCGAGGTGCCGTCGCCACCCAGCGGCGACTAGCAGTTGCCTCGCGTCGCCGCCGGGTCGCGTCCGTCAACCTGTGGGGAGGCGCGCCTGGCACTGCCGCCACTTGTACTTTCGACTATGCTGCTGTGGTGCCGCAGCGCCAGCTCGGAACGGCGGTAGACTCCGCCGACACGGGCTTTGTCGAGGGCAGCAACAACGGCGTCGACGGCAGCTTTAGCAATAGCGGCGAAAGCCCTCGGCAGCAATGGCAACGACAAGGGCAGGAGGAGCCAGCATCCGCGGAACGACGGTTTGAAGAGGAGGAGGAGGAGGGAGGTCAGGGACTAGAGGAAGGGTCAGAAGCAGCGTGGGGAAGGGAGGATGACGACTCAAGTCGAGGGGGTAGAGGAAGGCGGGGTCGGCGCAGCGGCAAGAGGATCGGGCGTGGCGGAGGCGGCGGTGGCGAGAGCAGAGGGAAGACGAGGACGGGACAGTTCATCGCGGAGATGCAAGAGCTAAAGCGGACGGGGGATTGGATCGGGATAATCGACATGTACAAGCAGGCCTGCGACGACGAGAACGTCACACTCAACCGCGTCATGATAAACACCACCGTGGCCGGGCTGGCGCGCAGTCCCAGGTGGCAGGTCTCTCTCTCGATTTTCCAGGAGATGCGCGACGCCGCTACCATAACGCCGGACGCGTACACGTTCAACGCGGCCTTGATGGCGTGCGCGCACGGGCGTCAGGACAGGCTGGCGTTCGCCCTGTTGGGTGAGATGCGTGAGGCCGGAATCAAGCCCGACTCCTTCACGTTCACGCACCTGGCCACGGTCTGCGGGCACAAGGGCGAGTGGGAGAGGGCCTTCTCCCTGATAGAGGAGATGAGGGCGGAGGGGATCCGGCCCAACTGCGTCGCGTATAACGCCGTCATCGTCGCGTGCGGCAACGCCGGGGAGCACGCCCGCGCGGTCGGGGTGCTCGAGCAGATGAGGGAGGGAGGGGTGCAGCTGACCGAGGGGACCTACAGCGCCGCTATCGCGGCCTGCGGCAAGGCGGGCCAGTGGGAAGGCGCGGTGGACCTCCTGGAAGAGATGAAGGAGGGCAGGGACAACCTGGAGCCGAACGAGTACTGCTACAACTCGGCCATCTCGGGTGCGTCGTTGTTGTTAGGGCCGTGGTTTGTTTGGTACGTGTCACTCGTGCAACGCAAGCAGCAAAGCGGCTGCCACTGCTGTTCGCGCACCGGCGTACACTCTGATTTTGGTTTGGTAGTATGCATCAACATCACTTGAATTAGGCTATAGGTTGTGACCACGGAAGTGCTTAACGAGGACGAGTATACGAATGAGGAGGTGCTGGATAGAGGTCAGAACGTCTTTCAAAACGAAGAATAAAACAGGAACAGCAACAGCAGCAACAACAATATCCTCGAGATTGTGCAAGCCACGATGATATGCCATACAATGATCACATGTCGTCCATGCCGCTTTGTCGTGTAGTTCTACTGTTTAGTAGTTCATCGTTCCGATAAGGATGAACCTCGAGAGATATTGCGTGCCAACCCCTGCCCGCGACGCGTGCTGGCGCTTTCCTCTCGCCCTTTCTACTCAACCCCCGTGCCTTTTTTTCAGCGTGCGAGAGGGCGTCAAGGTGGCAAGAAGCCCTGGCCCTGCTGCGAGAAATGCAGGAGGCCGAGCTCATAGTCACGGCCGGCACCTACTGCCACGTGGTGAAGACCTGCACGAACGCCGGCGAGATCTCGCAGGCGAGAGGCCTCCTCGACGAGATGCGCGAGAAAGACATGCCGCTCAAGAAGGGCACGGTCGCGATGGTGGAGAGGAAAGCGGAGAGGCGCAGCGTTGGCCACCGCCCGCGGAGCGCATCACCACCACCAGCACAACCAGGTGGTGAAGCTGCGCCGCACGACTCTCCTTTCCCCGAAGCCGCGCGTGATACGGAGTACGTGAACGCCTCGGCGTCCTGGACGCAGCAGGTTCCCAGGAGCGATGCCGCCTTCCCTGCGGTTGCTTCTGATGCCCCCCCGCCTGCGGCTTCAACGCCAGCGGCGGCCGTGGGACCGCCGCCCCGGCCGCGCGTCCATGCCGTCAAGCACTTCCTGCGGTCCGTCGGTAGCCACTCCAGGCATAGGCGCTGGGCTGAGATGCTGTCAGAGCTGGACCACGCCATCGCCGACCCGAACACCAAGGTCTCGCTGCGCATGTACGAGGGGTGCCTGGTCGGCCTGTCGTCGGGGGGGAAGTGGGTAGAGGCTCTCTCGGTGCTGGAGAAGATGGAGTCGGCAGGGCTGAAGCCCAGCGCGCGCTGTGTGACGGCTGCGACAAAGGCCTGCGCGAAGGCGAACCCGCCGAAGTGGGGCCTGGCGCTGTCGCTCGTGCGGGGGCTGGAGGAGCCAGAGGTGCGTTGTACGATGTGCCCGCCGGCCGCCTGACACCCCCCCCCCGTGCGTACGTATTCCAACACCGGCACCATCTCGCTTTGCCGCTATCTACTTCTCTTTTTGCTGTTGCCCGCAGCGAAACCCCGTAGTCGATTCTGACTCTGCTAGTCGATTCTGGCTCTGCTGCCTGTTGCTGCTGTTGTCGTTGCTTCATCTCCGTGGTGGTCTTGGCGTGTTCAGGTGTGGACGTACGTGGCGGCGCTGGCGGCGCTGGGGAAGGCGGGGCAGTGGAAGGCCAGCACGGCGCTACTGGAAGAGATGAGAACTGAGGGAGTGTCGCCTAACTTGTGAGTGGTCATTCGGGTGTTTTGTGTTCGAAATCGGCCAATCGATTTATCAGGAAGGGCTGCTGTACGTGCTACTACATTGTATACCCATTGCCAGGTAGAAGGTAGAGGGGGTATCATGCTGTAGACGATTTCCGTTGAGAGTATCAAAATAACAACCGCTGCGGCGGTGGCACGTATCTTTGATGAGAGTTTCGTCCATTTGATTGCCGCAGACAATACTACTGTTGTATTTATTCGCGGCGGCTAAATTCCACGGGGAGCTGGTCAAACGCACCAAAACTTTTCACACGCCAACAAACCACAAAAATAATCGCACACCCACAACGATATACTCCTTGTAGCCTCTCAAGTCGTGAGATATGGCATCCCATGTTCAAGCGACGGTGGTGGGTGGGGTGGAGCGTACCCCTGCATATGTGGCGGTGCCCCTTGCTCTCTCTCTCTCTCTCACACACACACACTCCCACTCGCTGCGTATGGACCGGTTGACTAACGAAAAGGTTACAAGTAATTGTTCCCGGAAGGGGGTCGAAGTGCGAACTTTTGGCGTCGCCCAGACTGCGTGCATGTGTCCCTGAAGCAAGTGATGTGGCGTAATTTCGAGGCGTCTCGTGCATCGCATCATTGTGGCTTCCCAACACAGGATTCATCACCCCCCCCCCCCAACATCGATCACATGGAAGGCAACAGTAGTTCACCCCCTCCTATGCAACGAGCGGGCGGTGCGGATCAGTGCGGCCCTACAATATTGTTTTCGAGCTGGCATTGATATCTCCCTACCTGTAGGACCTTGTCAAAACACTACTGCTCGGTGATGCGCAAGTACATCGCAATCGGAAGGATCTTGGCGGCTAATTTCGTCCACACTCAACGCTGCGAAATGCGTGTTTCATGCTGGCCTGTACGCAAAGACAAGAGTATGTCAAACCACGAACATCAAAGAGAAAAGAGCCCTGTTATCGGGAGAGATGAAGTCGCATTTGCACCACCGTTAGTGATGGCTGTGTTACTGTGCGTTTACGATCACTTCCTGTTTTTTACTTCTGGTACCATCCTCTTCAGCTTCCCGAGAGATACCACCTAGGGCACCATGTCTTATCAATTGTTCAACAACAGACACTGAGCCCCCGCATGCTTCGTTGTTCATCCCCTCTTGCCCGGGGTTCCGTAAACCGCTCTTGGCTTGATGGAACGTCACCGGCCCCTACCTCTTGACACGGACATTTTTTGTTGTATTTCGACTTTCAGAAAATGAAGATGAACAAGCTTGCTAGTGTTTCTACCTGGCATTTTCATGCTCTGGTGTTCACAGAATTAATACTTTTTCGTGATTCTTACCCCCAAACCGAGCCTCATTTACGTGTCGTTCGTGTTTCCCGGTTGATATTTTGGTCTATCTCCCGCCTCTCCCCACCCCCCCCCCTCCGTCTTTGTTTCTTTCTAATGTTCCGACGATGTTACGAAGGTGTCACGTTCGACCATGCATCAATTTTGGCGAACGCGTGCATATGATTACGTAGGTCATTTGTTGATGGGTCTTGTTTCTCGTTCGTGCATCTTCGTTTCGTCGTCGGCGTTCTGCAGGTACTGCTACAACGGGGCGTTGGAGTCGTGTCGCCTGGCGGATCCCCCTCAGTGGCAGCACGCGTGCTCCCTGCTGGCGCAGATGAAGGAGGAGGGGACGGCGCCGAACGAGGTGTGCTACAAGACCGCCGTAAACGCTTGCCGGGCAGCGTCAGAGGACGACGTCGCGGAGTCACTCTTGAGTGACATGATCGCGGCGGGATTTGCTACGCAGGCGGAGAAGCTCAAGACTCCCCCCGTCGCAGCAGCTGCAGCAGAGTGCGACGGACCATGACACGATGAAACGGAGTCTACTCTGTTGCCCATATGTGATTTTTTCCCCGGGGAATGTCGTGTCCCCTTGTCGAAGCGGCGGCCTCGGGCAGGCGGGCTTGCGCTGGCTGTGGAAGGATCTCGACATGTACTCGTCTGCAATGTATAGAGCGTATGTGCTGTTCTAGTCCGAGACCACAAAGTAGAACAGGAACGGGGTGCTTGGCGTTCATGGTGATGTTCTCCACGGAAGGTTTAGAGTTCCCCTTTTTGTGCTTGAAGTCCAGATTCCGCCCCGGGGTTCTTAATAGATGGTCAGGGACAAGTAGCGAACGATTTTCCTCAGCCTCACATCCTATTGAAGACAGAGCTTCAAGTCTTCAGCAGATGCCCGCGGTGGTGTGCGAACGAGGTTGTTTACTTCTGCGGACGCAAGGGTACACAGGATTTCCGCGTCGCCGTACAAATGCCTCTGAGGAACGCGAATAAGCTTGGAAGTGTTGTTTTTCGGCGGACGCGTGGTGCGTGCGCGCAGCGCGGGAGGAAGGCTGTTTGTGTGTTGATGAATGTGTTCAATATAGTGTACCGTGTTGTCCACCGGTCTCGCCACGCGCGCCCGCGTGACCCTTTCCCCAACATTCGCTTCACCTTGATTCTCGTGGAGCCGATCCGGGGCAGACAAGACGCACGCACCGGAGAACGAACCCAACAAGACGGCGGTGACCTACTTCAACGAAAAGAAACGTACGTTTGATGAGCCGGTTTTTGGAACGAGCGATAGAGTCACGGGGGGAGAGGACAGTCGTTGCCGGATAGCCCAGAGCAATCGATTGGTAGGGAGAGGGTACCAGAGATATGCAATAGGAGGGCCTCGACGCGAAGAAAGTGGACAGAATTCCCAAGCTCCAGGTTGGGTCTCTCCAGACCATTGTTTTTTTTACCCGTGTCATTTTTATTCGCATAGCCCACCCATTGCCCGATCGGGCCTCAAAAGACGATCTCAGCGCACACGCGACCTCCGAAAATTACCGGCAGTTCTGTGTAGCTGGCACGATTTCAATAGCTACGCTTGCTGTGGAGCAAGAACCAGATTCTACGCTATTGATTCGGTGGAGCAGGCTGACTTGTTGTTGCCGACGGTCCTTTTCTGAAACGGTCATCATCAAACCCCTGCAGTACGCATCATGCAGCGCTCGTTCTGCTTCGCCTGCTGCTGCACAATGCTTCTAGAGTGCTTTTCTAGGGAAAATCGCGAATGACCCACAAGCAGCTCTGTGTGGCCGAGTTGATTGCACCGCCTCTCCGAAGGGAAACAGCAGCTTTTCTACACAGCATGCAATATGTATAGCTACAAATCGACCGGTCGCCCCGGTGGTCTAGTGGTAACCTCGAAACCGCTAGCGGCAAAGTCCTGAGTTTGAATCCCCATGGGGTGAAAATTTTACAAATTTGCGGGCGAAAGCGAAAAAGCTGAGAAGCTCGTGAGTACAAACTTCGACGTTATATTTAGCACCATTATCGAGGGAAAGGGACGGCTGGACCTCCTCGCGATAAAACATAAGAATGCAGAACGCACCGCAGGAGGAAGGTGGGGCACGAAATGAAAAAAAGAAAAAAAGCCCGGTGTTTATCCTGTGTGACCCTGGATGATTGTACAGTATGTACGAAAAAATGCACTGAAAAGTGTAGTACTTCACATACAATTGACACACGTGTAGCACACGTCTCACCATGAAAAATGGGGGGAATGTCGCTACAATAAATATGACGAAAACACACATACACAGCACAGATCACGCCAATCTTGTTATTGATGACACAATCGTCAACCCATCTGCGAGTCGAAGCATCGACAAGTCGACCCAAACGCCAGGATCAGCCCTCAAAGATCGAGCCGTAGGTAAGGCAAATCAATACCATGCGAAAACTCTCATTTCTGCTCGAGTATCTAAAACTTTAGATATTCCTTTATCAAATGAAGTTAAACCTTTTAATGTTCAGTTTTCTTGCAAAATCTAATAAAGTTATTTGCAACGCAACTCGTCTAGATCTACCCTCCTTTTTCAACGTATGTGTGGTGGTCTTGGTCAAGGCACCAATCGACTAAACGCCTCGTTCAGCACCAATGACGAGCATTGGACATGCTTTGTCGACACAAAAAACTGATGACTCACGATAGTGACGGCCGCCACCATGTGGCTGTAAACACTGCAACAGACACGTCGGCATGGTGGCAAGCGAAGGGAGGGAATGAGACAGGGGCAAAAGGACGATTTGATCATTCTTCGTGAACCTTCTATTTGGCGCAAAAATTAGACGATGGAGTCCCTGCGCGGCAGATTTTTTCATTCAATTGATACAAAGTGCAAGTAGGCGGAGAAATATATGTCGGAGGAGAGGGCATGACCGATGACGAGGGTGGCGGAATTAACGCGCCCGCTCTCTCCACCCACGCTCTGTAGAAATGATATAACCGAAGAGGTTATGATCATGCAGAAATTCCCTGCCATGGGGGCTATGGCAAGGGACGATAGGTCACTTTTATCGTCTCTAGGCAGCTGAACCCCGATTCTGTCGTTTTCGAGCTTGTCTTGGGGGGCAACAAGAACTACACGAAGATAAGAACGTTTGTCAACATCCCGTGTTTCGATAACGAGATTCTTTCAGTCGATTTTTCTCTCGGAGTGCGCCATTCTGCTTGACTGGTTCTCTTGTTATCCGAGCGAGAGGATCCGCCTTATTCCGTCTTGAGAAACTTTCCGGCTTGACGAGGCACCATTGAGTCAGAGTCAGCGCCCTTCTCCCCGTTCAGCCCCCGGGTACCATCGCCGTTACCTTCGACCTCCCGCAAAGCCACCGCGCCCGACAACTCTGCCTCTGGTCCTGCTCCGAAACCACCCCCCACCTCCACCTCGGGGTCCTCCTCCGAGAGGTCGTTCGCTTCGCCACCCTCCTTCCCCTCCTCATCGTGCTCTGCCGCCGCCTGCCCGCACACCCAGCCCTCCAACGACGCCCCCGTAGCCCCCCCCCGAACCCACCACCCTCCCGCTCATCCCGGTGGCCTTATTAGCTTCGGGCTTGAGCTGACCCGGCTGGGCGAGACTCTCGCTAGTCGAAGCTGGAGCGCCAGCAGCAGGGAAAAACCCGGGCTCCCGGACCCCTTTCAGGACCTTTAAGGGCGTGGAGGTGGTGGCGGCGACGAGGAGGCGGCGGTGGCATCGAGCATATCGGGAGTCTCATATTTGCACCCGCTACCTTCGATGTCGCCGTCCCTGCCGCTGCTGCTGCTGCTGCTGCTGCTCTTGCTCTTGATAATGCTGCTCTTGGTACTGCTGCTGTTACTACAGTCCGCGTCCGTTCGCGGGCCTGCTTGTACCTTCGCTCTCTTGGCTACTCGCTTCACCATCCGGACATTTTGGACCGCTGGCCTTGTTGTTGCTTTCGCTGGTTGTCCAGTGCCGCAGTTGCTCCTCTCCAGCCTCTGCTATTCTGCGTCATGGTCAAAGGGCAGGGGTAGGTTTGCAATTTGGTGTTGTTGTCGATTGTTTCCTACTTTTGAGAAACCATTCTGAGACTTAACCAGCATCTCCTCTCCCATGATCATATAGAGTAATACATACGTGGTCGCTCCTTCTGCTACAAAACTGTCTTGTCTGTCTGTCTGTCAGTCTGTCTCTCGCTCTCGCTCTCGCTCTCGCTCTCTCTGTGTATGGTCAAACGCACGAGCGCGCCCCGACAACATCGTGAACTACTTGTGGTAGCCCTAGGCGGGCACATAGATAGGCAGAGGGTTCTTCCGCACTTACAGCAGCCATGGAGGCGTCTATGCCGGTGTCCTGTCCAGGACACGGGAAATGTGTCCACAAAAACAGCACGCTTTGAAGGCGTTACTCAGCATTCGGTTTCTTCATTTTTTGTCCTTTTTCTTGGTAGTCAAGAGTAAATTGCACGGGTTACATTGTGGTCCACATTCTTGGTGTCGTCGAGGTTGATCACGGGCCATCGTTTTGATTCTTTCGCTCGATCCTCCGGGGGCATTCTGTACTCAACGCGTTTCATGAGCATTAATGCATTAATCCATATGGGCTGCGGGGCAAAACAGCGCCGAGTCATCAGCGGAACACGGACATGGAAGAAGCGAGGGGCCACAATCGGACGGGGACAAACACACAAACAGCGGTTAGGAACAAACGACCGCTGAGCTGGGCAAAGCGCGAGGGCAAAACTTCCGCTTGGGGGTAATGTTGTGTCGTCCATAAATTTAGAAAAGCAGATGTTTGAACGTGTGGAATTCGAACGACGTGGCGGACGCAAGGAACCCGTCAAATTGGACACACGATTGAAAATAAATGACTAGACGCGCCGCCAGCCCCCAGGTTCCGGTAACCTTGATGCCTTCTCTTTCGACGTATGAAACCGTAACGTCAACAAAACCGCATTCGAGCCAGGTAGACCACATGCTCTGTCCCTAACCCCCCCCCCCTGTCCTACCCCCCCCTGTCCTACATCCCCCCCCCGCCCCACTTTTTTCCCCCCCCCCCCCC